TGATGGTCGATACTTGATCTATCTCTTACTGTTACATCCCCGGGCAACACCGGGGTCTCTTGCTAGTATGTAATAGAGGTGAACAATTCAACTAGGAGAAAATTAATATAATGTATCTAAATAGTAATTAGAGACATGACATAATCGATTATTTCATCTTAAATAAATCATAAATGGACACAGCTCTTCGCAGGATATGGGCTGTGATTGTTCGAACTATTTTTGGGGATTTTCCTGGAGATATGGTACATCAGGTATTTTGTTGGTTTGTTTTTGAGTTCCATTCTTTATCAGATCCAAAGCTCCAACCACAACAAGAACAGTTTTAGTTTTTAAGAGCCACATTTTTCTATTCCATCTCCAGAACTTTGCATTACTATTATTATTATAGTATTTTTGACCAGCAATTGATTTATGATCATACACAGAATCATAACCAATCAACTAGGACAAGCAAATGATATGATTTATTATTATTATGAAAAATGAAATTTTGACCTGAAATTGATTTATGATCATACACAGGATCATAACTAAGGACCTAGGAAAAGCATATGATATAATTTATTATTATTATTATTAAAAATGTATTTTTGACCTGAAATTGATTTATGGTCATACACAGGATCATAACTAATGACCGAGGACAAGCAAATGATATGATTTTTAAGTGCCACATGTTTTCTGTTTATTTCGTCGAGCCTGGCCATTACCAAGATGTGTAACTGCTTGGTAATACCAGGTGATGGGATCTTGGATGTGTGGGTGATGTAATGGATAACGACTCGGTTAAGCTGAGAGACTAGTTCCAATTTCCGTTGTGAAAATACGCTTGTGAAAGGTATGAATTAAGTTCTTCTCTCCACAAGTATGGCTTAATTAATAAGACTTGTATCAATAAATCATTATCTCCCAAAAATTCTCACAGTCTAAAAATACATTCTTATTGGCTGATATAACCTGCAAAATATTGCTAAGCCATAAAAAATAATTAACCAATCAAAACGATCCTGGTGTATTATCCATCTTCACCTGACATTACGACTTTAGTCCTTTTCCAACATAGCTTCACTGTGCGTTTCTACAAATACTTTCATGGAAATTGTTCTGATAATCTTTCCTCTTTGATACCCCAACTGCAGGAATGTAAGTACAGTAGTAGATTTGCGTCCATATCATTTTACTGCTGAAATCTCTAAGAGTATGATTTACACTCATGGTTTATTCTCACGCATTTCTTGCTTGTGGAAAGCTTTTTCGACTTTTTTTTTACTTTCCTGTCGAATATGATTTTCAAAGATTTAAATATAATGCAAATCAAGTGATAATCTTTTTAAACCTTTGTTGTTACTATTTCATCCCAAGCAAGGCGGGAATGCCAGTAGTACGCAGAGTATTACAGACAGTGAATGTGAGAGAAAAGACTAGGTGTAAGGAGGACTGAGAAAAGGATAAAAGATGAAGGGAATGACTTTGGCGTTAAATTTTTGAAGATTGTAGTTATCAGGAAAGCAAGAAACGGAAGTTCCACGGTCGGGAAGTGCGAGAAAAGAAACTGTCGGAGTAGAAGAGGCGGTTACATTTAACTCTTTCAATAGTAAAAGGGTGGAAACTAGATGTCAATCTAGTAGCACACTTAAATTCATATAGTCGGGGCACCAAGAAAAAAGCTCATATATATATATATATATATATATATATATTTTAAAGCAATTCACCCCAAGCAAGGCGGGAGTGCCACTAGCACGCAAGGGTTAGAGAGGATTGAGAACAAGAGTAAAGTAACATATTTGAGGAAAGGATACAGAGATGGGCAAGGAACAAGCTCAGGGTGTCTGATGTCGATTGACATTACACTTAAATATTTGAAGATTATAGTCATCGGGGAAGCAAGTAAGAGGAAGGGAGATCCACAGACGGGAAGTGTGAGAGAAGAAGCTGTTGGAGTAGAATAGACGGTTATATTTAACCGTTTTTACAATGAAGGGGTAGGACCGAGATGCCAGCATGGTAGCTCGCTTAAATTCCTGCAGTCTGGCAACCAACGAAAGTAGCTTGTCGAAACAGTTGCCGTGAAAATACTTGTAGAAAAGCCAGAGGGAACGTGCAAGTGATAGTATTTATGTGGTAACTGCAAAATCTCTGAGACTCACAAATGTCACAGTTTCTCCAAATTTGCGCAGAACGTATCATTAAGACAACAAAACTATTGAAAAGAGAATATATAAATAAGGAAAACAGAAAGGAAGAAATAAAAAATAAAATAGAATTAAAAAAACACAAATAATACACCCCATTCTCATAATAAAAACAAGTGCCCTAAACGGTTTCAGGATCAAATAGCTGTTAATAGATAAATGCTTGCTTCCCTAGGGCACCATCTTCACAAAGGCTTAATTGTTTATACTCTTCTCCAGTCGGACTTTTCAACCTGTGCCATCTTCGAACAACTTGTTGAACATTTCATTCAGAAACTGCCCCGTTCTTTAAAAGCTTCATCCACTCGGCAAACGTCATTGTTTGTTTTGATTATCTACACGCCTTCTATCGGATCCGATCAACCTCTTACCAGCTCCAAGAATCTTCGCGACCTGAAGACTGCCAGTCTGGACGAAGTTTTGTGGAGGGTGAGTTAGGAAACAAAGAAAAAAACAACAACAACAACAAAAAAAAAACGTTTTGACGCATTTATTTTACTTGGGACTTTACGAAAATATTGTATCGTCTGTAGAAAATCTCTCTTCACTCGATTGTTTTTTCGACTTCTCTTTATTTGTATTTTTATGAAGACCAATTGAACACTGTTACATTTCAGTGAAAAGTTAAAACGTATCCTTATCTTTATTCAACATATCAATAAGGTTTTAAAAGGAAAGCGAGAAGAAAGGGCTAACTATTAACTGTAAGAAAACAGAATCCATAATTGTCAGTAAAAGACACATCTTAAGAAGTCAGTATATTGGGGACGGTAACATCAACAGCAAATAGAATAATTCAACTTCAGCTTCTCATTGACATTTACCGAATCATAATTTTCTCCTGAGCAGAAATATATATATATATATATATATATATATATATATATATATATATATATATATATTATAAATTAATTGATTTAAAATATGGTTTTTTCGCTACACAGTTCTAACCATGTTTCAAAAATGGAAGCTAAAAGCCACGAATTTAATTTTGCAATTAAATTTAATTGCAAAATTTAATTGCAAAATTAAATTCGTGGCTTTTAGCTTCCATTTTGAAACATGGTTAGAACTGTGTAATAAAAAAATATTTTAAATCAATTAATTTATAATGTTAATGCTCTGTAAATTTACATTGAGCACTATTTTGTAAAAATAAAAATATCTATAAGAACACCGGATTAAATATCTTACTGTTCTTTATATTTATATATATATATATATATATATATATATATATATATATATATATATATAAGATATCGCATATTGAGTGCTGATGTTAATAAGAGAATATTCGATGTGATATAACTGAGCAATTAAGTATATATTAATAAATATTATTTCTCACCGGTAGCATTACGTTAACCAGATATTTATATTAAAATTTAAATTATGTAACTCTGTATCCAGTATCTGAAGATTGCGTTGTACATGAAACTTCGAATCGTGCTATCGCTGAGGATAATATGTACATTAATCAATACATACATACATACATACATACATATATATATATATATATATATATATATATATATATATATATAGATACAAAAGTAATAATTGTATTATACCTATTATGTTATTATTGATACATTTTATGAAGTTTTATTTTTCACTGCATACTTAATTTCACAGTACTCACGCACATATGTGTGTGTATAAATTAATAATAATAGTAACCTACCTATATATATATATATATATATATATATATATATATATATATATATATATATATATATATATATATATATATAATTATTAATATTATATAATTTAACGTACAATATCGGCCAAAGGTTTGACATGTGTCCCTTTCTTAGGCGTGTTTTTACTTCATAGAGAATGCAAGAGTCATATTCTAGGATCAACGTGTAGGATACCAACATAGTATATATTGTTAATATGTACCTGAACAGTTAAAAGTAGATACGTCACTAATTAGTCCTCTAAAAAAATAATAATAACTCATAGAAAACATGTTAACTAATAGTTGATAAAACATGTCAGCAGTCTTTTTCTTTTTGAGGGAAAGCAGGTAAGGCATACATTGATAGATCATCAAAATATAGTGGATTTTACATGTGGTACCTTACTCTCCTTGCAATTTAATTTATGAAGACCAAATCTGTCCATTTATATTTATCAATAAACACCCAGGACTGGTTGAAAGAATCCTAATAGACCGTTTATTTTTCTTGAAAACCTAAATTTGTTTACATTAGGTAGCTTCAGTTCATTAAGTATTCAAAAAAGCTTCCACACAATTTATAATCAGACTTTTTAACTGATTCATATTGCACAAATAGATTCCGTGGATCATTTCGTTACAAGACATAATATATAAAATATAGAAAACTAAAAAATGTCAGATCGATGGTAACCATCTTGTTCTCGTTGGAAATTCGCACTTCAGTTCCGATTAAACAGTTATCTATTTGAAGATTTTAATAACACTTTTAGTGCCATAAGTGACCTGTGTAATTTCAACTATCAGTAGAACTATATAAGCCTTCAGTCTATATTGTAGCACATATTCATGACGAATATATATATCCGTAAATCGAGTTGGATCACGCCCTGAAGTGACATTGCGCTAATATATATATATATATATATATATATATATATATATATATATATATATATATAATGGTAACTGTAACTCCCCATTTTATGTATGAGCGACCACCCGGGAATTCTGATTTAACACACAGTCTACTGTACCAAACGAATTCTTTGGAAGCACATGAAGGGCGAATACAAGAAATTATATCTTCCATACCACAAAAGTTCGTGGTGAAATGTTCTTATCTATCTATCTATCTATCTCAGTCTATTCTTATCTATCTATCTATCTATCTATCTATCTATCTATCTATCTATCTGTTGTGGTACGATCCACCTAATTTACATAGTGGAGTACCGACCATATAAATATGGGTTGGTACCGGGAAGACGAGGGAAGTAACAAGAGATCCAATCCAGAGACTCTGCCCGACTGCGATTAAGTCAACCCATTCTACAGGAACAACCTTCCCAAGAATATACCAAAACTAACTGTAAATATTGTGTACCTTTTCCTTGTTTCAATACATTTTTTTACGTACATTTTGTGTTGTATTATTATTATTCCGTGCTTATTCAAGCTTCAACATTATCTATCTAACTTTCAGGTGAAAACAGCAATTTTGTCTTCGAAAATGATGACCACTATAATATTTGTCTTGAAATAAGCAAAACCGCAATGATGACATTATGCTATATCGGAAGTACTCGGAATAAAATAATATGTATCAACATGATGATTTTCTCTCTTCCTTTAATGATGACACCAACAAGCTTGTCCGTGAATATGAAAGACTCCAATTGAAAATAAGTAGACAAGACTTGTCTAAATTATTCAATGAAACATGTCTAAATCTATCTATCTATCTATCTATCTATCTATCTATCTATCTATCTTATTTCTCTGTATATCTAGATATATTTGTATTCGTTTGCTCTTACCCCTCTGTCTTATTCTGCTTCTATCTATCTATCTATCTATCTATCTATCTATCTATCTATCTATCTATCTATCTCATTTATTTCTCTGTATATCTAGATATAATTGTATTCGTTTGCTGTTAGCTGTCTTAATCTGTTTCTATCTATCTATATGTGTGTGCATCTAAAATATGTAGTTACGGTTGTCGCAATGCAGTATGCAAGTTAATATTTACAAAACTTACTTTAATTTGACAAGAAGAGGCGTTTTATGATGCATTTAGAGCAGACTGAACAAACTATCCATTGGTTCAAAGATTAGATTGGAAACCACTAAATTATAATCAATGATCTGCATATGAATATCTTTTCCTTCCTTCCCCCCTCTCTTCCTTCCTTCCTTCCTTCCTTCCTTCCTTCCTTCCTTCCTTCCTTCCTTCCTATCTATCTATCTATCTATCTATCTATGTTTGTGTACGTATGCATGTTGATGTGCGTACGTACATGTACTCACGCAATCACACGATTCGTGAGCATACATTCTCACACACTCTTTCGTGTTCAAGGGTTGTCTGTGTTTGCCTCTTCCGAAATACGATTTTCTCTCGAAAGGCAATGTGACAGTGACCATTACCAGCTTAATTCTATAAGTGCGCTCCAAACTCGGCCTGTCACTGACCATTACGTTTGCGCCCGTTTCTGTCTCTCTCTCTCTCTCTCTCACACACACTCCCACTCTTTCTCCTCCTCCTCCCACCGTCTTTCTTCTCTATCTCCTTTTTATTCCTGTGGAACGTTTAGTGCGCGGCCATTGCGTTGCCACTGATGTCTTCCCGATGGTCTGGTTCATCATCGTCTTCATTCCGGCCGACGAGTGGCGAGGTGTGTCAGACACAGATCTGAAGCGCACCTCATTCGATTCTTATTATCAGCACGACTAGATAGGAAGATACATGCGAAAAGCGGCGTTGTAGGGGGAGACAAATTTATTTTCTCTAAGTACGTCACATTGCGTGACTAGGTAGGACATCAAGTAAAGCAAATTAAATATGATGTAGGTGGGGAGGTGGAAACACGGGGTAATAGGAGACGAACAAGATAAGCAAAGAGTTCAATCCCTAAAAGTTCTTCCGATAGGTACGATAGGCATTTTGCAATATTAATTCTTAATAATACGGCGTCCTCTGCGTTCTTTAATAATAATAATAATAAGAAGAAGAAGAAGAAGAAGAAGAAGAAGAAGAAGAAGAAGAAGAAAATAAAAACTTGCCTACTAATTTATATTGTTTGCCCAGCGGACTGTAACATAGCAACCATGGTACCAGTCATATTAGGTGCGCTTGGAATGACAAAAAAGGAACACAACAACACTGGAAATCCCACCTTAAGAGAAATACAAACAATCGTTTTGATAAGTACAGCCCACACACTAAGAAGAACTTATATAACGCTAGTGATGTTATGGAAGTTAGAAAAACAACTCATGAAATGTAGCCATAGCAACACGCCACTATTTGCTTTAGGCCTTCCCGCAGACTTGGTAGGTAGTATCGCCATAGCAGAAATCGAAATATAATAATAATAATAATAATAATAATAATAAGAAGAAGAAGAAGAAGAAGAAGAAGAAGAAAAAAAAAAACTTGCTTACTAATTTATATGGTTTGCCCAGCGGACTGTAACATAGCAACCATGGTACCAGTCATAGTAGGTGCGCTTGGAATGATAAAAAAGGAACACAACAACACATTGTAAAAATCCCTGGAAATCCAAAAAATTGTCTTGATAAATACAGCCCACAAACTAAGAAGAATTTTGTCCATGTAACGCTAGTGATGTTATGGGGGGTAGCCATATGAATCGTTAATCATGAAATGTAGCCATAACAATACACCACTACCTGCCTTAGATCTTTCTGCACACTTGACAGATTGTGTGACCATAGCAGCAATCGAAATATAATAATAATCATAATCATTAGCGGGACCTGTACCGACTAATAGAATGTTGAGTAAACAAACTTTTTCTACATCTATGTATACATAACAATATCGTATTGAAGAAGGAGCTGTTAAAATCTCTACATATAGAATGAGATACTTAAGCAGCAAATAGTAAAACTAGATATATTTGTACAGGTATATTTACAAATACATAAAGTTTAGCTATTAAATCTGTCATTTTTTAGCATAGAATACTCATAGGCTGGGAAATTAAACAACACATAGAGATACTTAGGAGTGTCCACCATGTGTGCAAAGACTTGCCAATTAGTCCATGGTACTACGCCTCCCAACATAGAGCCATGTCAGTTTCCTCCAATATGAATACAGAAAACAATTGACCTATATATGTACAAAACTATACAATACATTCCACATATAAATAGTTTCCCCTTTTGAAAGATATTCATTTAATATATATGTGTATGTATGTATACATATAAACCAAAGACACATACTTAATGTAATCAAGGGTCTCCAGAATTTCTGAAAACACTCCACTCCTTCAAGACCAGTACATGTTCTTAATAACAGTTCACCCTCTTCTCCTCCTTGTCTGTCTGTCTGTCCCGATCACCTTAACCCTTACATATGTAAGTTTGCAAGCTTTAGGCTATGCCACATGCCCGTGACTGAACACTGGCTGAGGTAAGAACAACCCCACCTTCTCAAATGTCTGCCCCTGTGACTTGTTAATAGTCATGGCGTATGACAAACGGTCAGGGAACTGGGTTCTCTCCAGGGTAAATGGCAAGTTAGAGTCGCTTGGAGCCAACTTTATTCTGGGGGTATGAGGACAAATCTGCCAATTAGTGAGCCACTAATCAAGGAAGCCTCAGTTGAATGTTGATGCATGGCCACGACTTCCAGTCTTGTAACATTGCAGAGTCAATTCTGTGTAGAAATGTTACGATGAAGCATTACAATTGAGCCGGGTATTAAAGTTTATGATGAGGCATTCTTGATGGTATCAAAGAGTTTAGAAATTCAAGTCGGTAGCGCTCAGCCTCAGAAAGATCATCTGTCAAAACTTTATCTATAATATAATAGGTACAGAAGTCAGCGTAAGTTGTCTCAAACCTTCATTGATCAGGTGGCAGTTTGAGTTCTTTGACGAAAGAATTACTCTGCTTCTTTTCTCTTCCTCAGATGTATTGTTAAAGAGATCATCCACCAGAGAATCGTCAACACATGAAATATGAGATCCTTCTATGTCATCAGCAGCAATATTAAATTGTGAAGCCGTTGACGTTCCATTTCTACGATGTAAGATTCATGCTGCAAATTCCCTTTGATCTGCTGTTGTCCTGATGTTTTGGCTTAATATGTATTGGATGAAAATCAACCATAGAGGAAAATGCTTAATACAGATTTCAATGAGTGCCTCACGACTTCCTCATGGCAATATGGGTAGGACTTGCCTAAAGTCTCCCCTTCACCAAGAGCACAAATTTACCACCAAAAAACAGTAGCAATGCCAGTGATATCTCGCAAGACTTTATCAATAGCATGAAGATCAAAAGAAAAGGATCACAGAAGCCTCATTCAAGATGATCAAATTCAGGTTTCGTAAATAATCTCCGTGGTCTGAATTGGCTGTTACATTAGAAATGCTGGTCTCCGTGAGTGAGATATTCCTTCCACCTAACAGTAGTGTAGAGGCAATGCCCGTCAAGCACCATTGCACACGTTGCAGTTATTCTTTCGCAGATAAGAAAGTATGGTATTAAACATATAAGTTTTCACACAACCTCCTGGTACATCTACATAGAAATAGAATTTTGGGGGCACCTCACCTCTTCTCTTCTTATCTACAGATTAAAACAGGGTATTAGCAACCAGTTTCTGTTCATTAGTAAGTGTCGCAATGTCTAAGTGATCGAGGTCTTTATGATGGCCAAGCTGCGGTACTCCATTCGGTTTAGGCAGCCCAGTTGCTAAACAATTAATTCCAATCTCTATCAGAATTACATCAACTGAATGCAGTGTCATGTTTTGTGCATGGTCTGCATTAAAGCTTGGTGCAAGAAATCTCATAGATGTCTTGCGAGGGGTTCACAGGTAAAGAGCAGGGTTCATATAAATGCACAGGGCAGCAAACATAACACGCAACTGTAAGGGCATCCGACAGGCAGCAGCTTCTAGCAATGCATGTTCCAGTGTGTTATCGTTTGAGAGAAGACCATATCTCAGACTTGTTGCCTTAAATGTTGGCAAGGTTTCGCCTTCTACTGTGTGCAAAACCTTTAATCTCACAGCGCCTGAAATATGCAGCAGCAACATTCGCAAATGAAATTTTTCTGTGTCTCTAGGGCTGTATACATTCTATTGATGATATTCGTATTCCTTTTCCTTGGTATCCATTTTCTCGAGTGCTTATAAACACATAATGGAGGGGAATGTCAGGGTACAAGTGGTTCCTTGCATCAACATCATCATCATGCTCATTCAGTTTAAACCATGCAGCGAGGGTAGTGTCATGGTCCTTCTGTGCCTGAGTAGCTTGCTGAGCATTGCCTTTGTGAAAGTAAACTCTTTTCTGGTCTTCAAGATGTACAGCAAGTCTGTAGACATTGTGAGATGTGTCATGTAGCTTGAACTCTGACAGTCTCCACATAGCTTCCGGGGGAGAAATATGCCGGCAAGCAAGATAATTAGTAATTTCATCGGGAGCTTGATTCTGCTCACAGGTGCTGGGTGGTCTCTTACTTCAGCAGAAGCAAAGCCATGTCTCTTGTACATGTTCTTGAAGATACAATTAATGCTTTTCACTGATGAACAAATTTCTACATTAATGTAGGTTCTGTACTTTTTCAGAAGGTAGGCAATGTAAGACACAACGTTCCTATTGTCAACTGAGTGACATCCAATTTGAACTGTGACTCTGGTATTACGTCTTCTGTACTCCGGATAGCGTTTCATCTCTGTAGTTCTTTGGGAAATTCTTTTGGCATGAGCCATTTTCCATGCAAGGAAGAATGATTATCTGTTCCGAAAGGACCATGTATCATGCATTTTTTTACTAAATCATACAAGACTGAATTATCATTGGCATCCAGAATTTCATCTGTTACGATCCTAGCTATGTCATCGCTGTTTCTAAGTCTGTCCCCGTTTCTCAACACTACCAACATGTGACAGTGGGGCAAACATCTCTTTTGAAACTCAATGACATGGACATGAGCCACTGGCACCCCAAAATATGTCTATCATTTATGTCTCTCATCATAAGTTCTGCAAGGTGTGACTTGTACACTCGGGCAACTAAATCTGACCTATTTTCAGGTGTTTCATTTTGCTGCAGATTATCGCAGGACACTTCGGGTTGCAAGTCTGGATTATGATATTTTGAAACAATTGATATGGCATCCTGAAAATATTGATGCATACTCCTTGAACTGCCTGTGAATGAGGAAGACAGTATCACTGGCACTCCTGGTTCAATATTCTCATCTGCTCCTGTGTTCAATCTGTTGTAGCTTTCCATTTGCAACTGGGCTTGATTGTTCCTAAGATATTGCAACCTTAAACCTTGACATATGCATCCACAACTTATTGTTGAAATAATTTTCCAGCTCTGTGAATAACACTAAACCCACCACTAAATGCAAGCTGATACCTGTAGTATTCTTGCATTTTTTGACGATTAGGCACATGTTTCTGGCGTAAAACAAAAAAAATTATGAAGTAGGAGTTAAATATAAATTTAATTTGAAAGGAAATGGCAAAATGATATGCAAATTAACAAATAAGAATTTCAAAAAGAAATTTAATAAGAAAGATAAGTTAAAGTAAAAATTATTTTTCCAGAATTAGGTTGTAA